ATAAATTATAGAGTAGTATATATTTGCATGTGATTCTTAGATATAATCGAGCGAAGTAAATATCAGAAGGATGTATAAATATAAGTGAAAAGATGATCGAAATTTTTGTATAATAATTTAAAAGTAGATTAATGTATCTTTTGGCTTAGTTAGACTTTTTTTAAAAGAGTTAATGCATGTTATTGCAAATATGAAGAGTAAAGTTTGACCTTTTTGTATAATAATGTGATGTGTAATTTTGTTATATTTTTTGTTTATGTAAATAGTATCCACATGAGAACTATATATTATATTAGAAATCTATAGTCTAAATTTGGACATCTTATGTTATAATGCTATTTCTTTAGTGAACACCATGAGTATTTTTTTATACTTTCAAAAAAATTTTGCATAAGCTGCCCTTTCGCTTGATGCTTTTTTAAAAAAAAACTCAATCCTTACTCCATTTTTGTTTCATATTGTATCTTAGGATTTTGTTTTTTAATTTTCATATAGTATGCATTTCTCTAATTAATTTTTTAAAATTCAGTGTGTACATAGATGTTTTATAATTAGTTCATATATTAAACGAAGAAAACAAATGACAATTAATAATAAACTTCTTTATTATATAAGTTCTTTATTAATTGATATAATATTTGTTTGATAGTTTAGCTAGCTCGATCATTAGCAAATATTGGTGAAGAGTGTGGAATTTATCGTTATATGTTATTTGAAAAAAAAAATCTTTTCAGTTTTATGTTTCATAAAATTTTGCAAATGAAAATTAAGAAACGGTAACTGTCTTTAATCACCGGTTATTTAGTTAGGTTTTTACTTCAGTTTTTCCACAATATCGGATTATAACAACAATATAGAACTCTATATCAGCTTTAGAAACTTGAAATCTGTTACAAGTCAAAAAATTACAATTGTATAAATTAATTTTCTCTAGAAGAAAGAAAACCGAGTTGCTCTTTAAGTTTTACTTTTGGCGAGGAAGACGTTCTCCGGTTCCAACAATACTATGGTTGATACTCATTCTACTCGATTCACATTATAAATATAAATGCAAAACAGTTGTGAGATTATATTTTTATGTTGCTTACAACAATCTCAAGCATGAGACACATTAGACTTCATTTGTGATAGAGTTGTGTACTATTTATACCATATGTGGCTCATCACTATGTCTTTTTTTTTTGACATCCTCATTGCTATGTCTTTTGGATTTCTAAATGTTTATGCTCCACCTATTTAAGTTTTATTGTTTATCACCAGTTTGGTTGTCATTAATTAAAAAGTAAAATTTGTGTTTAGTGACGGCTGATTCTGTTTCTGGTGAGTCAGAGGCGAGATGAGTGGATACCGAGAAGACGATGACTCCATAAAATGAGCTTTTGTTTAAGCTTTATAGCTGATTTTTAGTGTAACTCGTTTTCAGATTTTTTTGAGCTTTGTTTTTTATTTTATTTTATTAAGAATTTAAGAATTATAAAAGTTTTTTTGTAGGTAAAATTTAAGAAAATTTTAATTAATAAATTATTTAATAAAATAGCTTTAAATTATTGGTCAAAGAAGATGACATGACAGTTTTGATATCTACCATTGGCTGATTATTTTTACTGATGTGGTAGCCCTTAGAAGCCTAGAAATCTATCCATTTTATATAAAGAAGATAGATACGTTATTATTCAATCCCATAAACTTAATATCTTATTTTCTCATCATTTACCTAGTCAACTATATACAGACTTCTATATTATTTGATGGCTGTGACATCAGGGTACGTAAATGATTTCATCGCGCGCTGAAAATTTTTAATTTGTTTTAGCTTCTCTCTCCGACGTAGATATAATTCCAAAATAAATTCCATGCAAAAGCGAATACGTATTAAGCCCTAAAAACAAAATAAGTAACAGAAACCTTATTTTTTTGGGGGGGGGGGGGGGGGGGGGGGGGGGGGGGGGGGGGGGGGCAAAGTAACAGAAACGGGAAACCATTGACATTTTTTTCAACGGTTAAGTGACCTATCTTTCACTTTAGAAACACCCTTCACATCACGTCTCTATATAAACCTCGGATCCGTTATGCTTTGTTCTTCACACTAGAATAATCAACTCTTAGTCTATCCAAGTGATCTTTATTTACTCAAAATGGCTTCAAATCAACTTATTGCCATTTTAGTTCTCGTTGTTACATTTGTATTTCAAAGTGATAACAATCAATGTCGTCGAAGCACAACTCACGACAAATTTCTAATCAACCTCTTGCCCTAACCTTCTCTCTACCGTCCAATCAACCGTTAAATCTGCCATTAACAGCCAGCCTCGAATGGGTGCATCTATCCTCCCTCTCTTCTTCCACGATTGCTTCGTCAACGTAAGTTTATTTTTTTTAATATACCTTACATCCCAAGAAAAGTAGCGATGATAAAGAGAATGTATGAACGGTCGTCATCGTGTGTGTTTAAGCTTTAAACTTTTGAAATTTTTGAGACTAAAAGGATTATAAGGTGATTAAGGCGATGAGGGTTTACGTGATTTTGGAAGAGTGAAATGTACCCTTTATAGTGAAATTACACATTCGAGTTATTTATTAATTTAGGAATAATGTCAATAATACAACTCTCGTTATATCATTTTCACAACTACCACAAAGCGCTGGTCATTTTTATATATAGCACTAACCTGACAATTCATTGACCAAACTACCCTCCAACTAAAAAAGAAAACACGAATAAGTTGCTGATGCAAAAAATACATAAATTGGAAACCAACAATTGTAAGTTCCGATGAAGAATTATATATCCTCTTCATGGCGTAGAAGATAATTGTCGAAGAAGGAGAAGCATGGAGTCTGGTGAACAAGGATCCACGAGCGATGATAGTGATGATTGAGGAGGAAAGATGATTTAGGGAATCCGTAAACAGTTATATTTCTTCGAACAAAGATTTACGGCCTCTTTCTTCAAGGCTTTTGGATCTAAATTTCTCAATTTTCTGCGAGCAGCTAAAGATTCCCCATCTTTCAGGTTTGGTCCTTCTCCATGATTGAAAGAACTTTGATTTCAGAATTCTGAGTTAGATGTTAGTGGAACCCTAGCTTCTGTCGATTGAAAAATACATGAAGGATCTTACACGGAAATGGGGTTATTGGATTCAAGCTCTTCCGGAAATCAGAATTTTGTCTAGCCTGTAAGTTAATTATTGAAAAACAGTTTACCCTTTTGCTCGAATTGAAATCAAAAGGCACCTTGATTAACTTACAGGTCATGACGTTTACAATGTTATTTGTCACCGAGTTTTTAATAACGTAGCTAGTATATACGGTTCTTGATCCTTTTAGTACACCATAGGGTTTTCACAAACGTTTACGACTTATCATCAAAGAGGGATATAGCTTTCCTTCAGGTTTGGTACCTCGAGCTTTGGCTGAATCATATTGATTATGTGCTCCGTTCTCAGTTGCTTTCTTTTGCTTCCTGAACTTTCATCTTTCTTTCTTATAGAATCAAACAATCTATTGATTATTAGCTTTCCATCTCTTAAAAAATTCATATAATCATAGTGATTTTATTAACTCATAAACAAGATGAGAGATGTGCTTGGACTTCAGAAACTCGAAAGAAACCCAAGAAATGTTATAAGTTCGCAATTACGCGAAAAGATTTTGGATTGGATCTGTGATATTTATTGCTTTCAGATTTCGTTATGGACTTTGATGAACTTTGGTTGCTGAGATTTTATTTCGTAATATTATTATTTTCTTCGCTTTCTCTTATAAATCAGTTTACAAATCCTTATAACGTGTTTTATAACTTATTTTACATGTATCTGTGGCTAACCGAGTTTTAACATGTGCCTTACTTCGTCAAAACTTATCTTATGAGACAATGTTCTATGTGCTATGTTGGATGATTGAATCCACTAACATGAGCGTCTTGTAGATTCAAACAGTTACTTATTTTAGTGATTGTACTCCTAGTTTATTGGATACACTTTGGAATCCTAATATATATACATGCTTCGTTTGCAGGCAAACAATCACACCAAAGCAAAGATAATTTAAAGAATGGATCCATGGAATAGAAGAGAGCTTTAGGCAGTCCTTGAAGATCATATATCTTTTTTCTTTCTATTCTTGGTACTTGCGTTACATTCTTTGGTTGGTATATTGATGTTTGTGTTTGGTTAGTTGAGACTAGAGAGTTATGTGATTATGTCACCCTTTAATGGATATACAATTAATTCCTCAACTATTGTTAAACGTTGCTTCTTGAGAATAAAAGGTTTTATAAATCCATGTATGAAAATTTATGTCTTTAAAGTGAAATCTACCAGCGACCTTTGTAACTCAAAGCCGATTGACCACACAATCATTCATTTATATTAAGTGTTTAGATGAGACTTCTTAGTCTACAAGTTTTGGATAGATTGGAAATGTGAATTTTTTTATAAAGATTTAAAAAGAGGTTTCTAAATCTTTATAAATCAGTAATACATATTTTCTATAAATAATTAAATTCATATATACAACAATATTGAGTATGGTTTAGATTAATACATAAACAAAATTATGTTTCTAATTAAAATAATCCATATATTTTTTATAAATATTTTAAAAACTAAATCAGTTAAAAATGAAAATTTAACAATGTCCTAAAAGAAGATTGTAAAGTAAACTCATTATTTAATCCTTTTCTATTTTTTTTTTATTTGAAACTTTGACTTAGATTTTAAACATTTTTGGTAATCATTCTTAAACTATGTAACTGTAACATAAATATAATAAATGTTTTTAATATCGTTAAATACAGAATTGGAAGATGGAATTTGTGGGTTCGAAATAAAACTGTTTTTGTAATGAAAAAGAAGTTACTACCTTTAAATTTCTTTTTTTGTATAAAAAGTAAAATAATAAATTTGTAAAAGACACTTAGAATTATTGACTGACTTATAATTTATAAATATAAAGATTTAAATTTTTTTATTAATTTAAAATTAATTTTTTTTTTTAAGATACCTTCAACCTTCCTAACCGCTGGAGATGCTCACAGTGTTGCACATGCTCTCTCTCCGTCATCTTCCTCTCTGTTCTCAGATTTGATCCGTCGGTTGCATTTCGATTCTCCTTCTGAAAAAAATACAAAAGAAAGCAAAAGCAAAACCAAAATCGATATCCTTCGTCTTCTTCTATCCGTCTTTTCTGCAACAACAACAACTCACCTAAGCCCTTTCTCCTCTCTCTTAGATTCGCCACCTCTAGTTCTTCTTCCTTTGTCGCTCCTCTCAAATTATCTACCACCAATCACGCTCTGACCTCGAACCGACTCCAAAGGCGCCATTTCTGGCTCCATTCGAGCCGTCAATTTCGGTCATTCCCGGCGGTAACGGCAGCTCTGGTAAAATCCGGCTATGCCCTTCTGCTCGCTTTAGTTTAAAAATGTTCAATAGAATTACTTTTCTGTGACCCTTTTGATTAATAAACAAATATGGTTGGCTCTTTTTTCAGTTGATGACAAATTTGGTTGGCTTTAGTCTTCTTCAAGAGCTAGGAATCAATGAAATCATCAAGGTGACTTTTTTTGGTCTCTCTGTTTCAGTCATGAATTTCTCGTTGAATCATTCCTTCTCACTATCAAAAAATTCTTATGTCTATGAATGATTCAGAAGAACCGGGCTTGTCTGGTCAGAACCAGGTTCGAATCAATACACTATTGAGTTAAACTGAGTTCATGAGTGAGTTAACTGAGTTCATGAGTGATCCATGTGCTTTGGAATAGCTTACTATTTTGTAAGCATTTGGAACTCTGTAATTTTATAGTTTTACAGGCTACATTATTATTAATTTATTAGCCACACAACGATTAAGTTGAGAAGCTTCTGGGTTTGTGTAACATATAAGAACTGATGCAAATACGACACAACTTGCTATTGTCTAGGCCTTTGGAACTCTGTATTTTGATTGCTTACTTTGATAAATTTGAATTTGCTTACTTGACATGCCTTTGATAGATTGGTTCATCAATACCTTATGGCTTATACCTTGGAGTATCTTTCTTTTCTCTTCTTCTTGGAGTATGCTTATCCATTGTCTATACATGTGACAGGAAGCGATGCTGAAGCATACAAAGCTCGACAATTTTCTCTTTAAACTCGACAGGTGACAAGAAGCGATGACAAAGACAACGAGGGCATAGCAAATGAGGTATGTACATGAACAACGAAGCTTCTTCATATTCTACGAAATCGACGACAAGTGTAGAACTTTGTTTCAGAAAACAAATTCTTCATAGTGTGATGAACTTAAAGAGCTGATCATTTTATATAAATTTAAAACAATTTGTAAAAATATTTTTTATTTTATTATTAAAAACTTAATATAGTCTCTCTAACGTATGTCTTCAAATTAAGAATTTTTTTATGAAATTCTTAACTTAAAATAACAGTACATTTAATAATAAATAATACTTAAGAATTTCAATATGAGATTCTAGCTCTATTACAGATGTTTTATGTCAAAGAGAGATTCTTAATATTTTTTTTTATTATAGAAGAAAATCGTTTTTTAAAGAAAAAAACAAAAATTTGGCAAATCATATTTTGCCACATCATGGGAGAGACAGTTTTTCCGCCTCTGCGCAGAGAAGCGATTCTACCCTTAATCTCAACCACGTCAATTTTTTTTTTTTTTTGAACCCTATCAAATCTCTCTATTGTAGATGCTCTTAGTACTTATGGAAAAATAACAAAACTGTTTCAACATAAATTTTGTAAATACTTGTTAACTATATACATACTACACATATAGATATGTACAAATCGTTCAAAATATTTTGCTGTGCATATTGGTTGATACAGAAAACATCGATGTGCGATTCCTCTTTATACGGAGAAGACCACAAATGTGAACGCTAAACCTTTTGATTAAAAATTACTTTCTCTAAAACAAATAATGTTTTTGCTCAGATTTACATATTTTGTATATAATTTAACCAAATTTAAACTTTGTAATAAGACAAATATTACCAAATTTTAAACGAAGGATGTGGGTTGATTTGAGACAGACTTTGAGAATAAGCAAGTTTTTTTCATATATCACATTGTTTTTGTCTCCTTTCATAATTCAGACTCCATCAATATACATAGCTATTGCACACCAAAAAAGTACAAAATTTATGTCTCGCATCTGCCATAATACGAAATTTATGTCTCTCATCTACCATAGCATGAAATTTATGTCTCCCATTTACCATAATATGAAATTTATGTCCACCATCTGCCATAGTACCATCGACATCAATATCAACAGTGAGCGTGAGGCTACACGGCATTTGTACTGTCATAAACATTTTCATAAATCATTGTCAATCGGTGGCTAAAATTTTATTGAGCCTATATATAGATAGATGCAGAGGAAGAGTTACAACATATACAGACACAGAGCATAGCTTCCAAACAATATGGTTTGTCTTGCATATCTGATCTCTCCAAAAAAAAAAACTCAAAAAAAAACCTCCCAACAAAAAGAATTTCTGTTGGGTAAGATCTCTTTCTCTTTCTCTATCCCTTATTTTTATTTGATTTTTAACGGTGGATTAGCTTGCTGCATAAATATTTTTACTTGTTAATGGGCAGCGATGGAACCTGTTGATGTCTACTGGGACTTCAACAAATGCCCACTAGTTGCGGATCAACCGGTAAACACAATTGTGGACAAGATTAATCGAGCTTTAAAAGAGGTGCACCAGGAAGATAGGAACGCTCCCATATATTATATGTCAGAGAAAAGATTCCTATGTGAGGACCTTCAGAAGCTGAGTGATAAGGCTCAAGCGATCAGGGTTTTGAACGTTCACTTTCAAAAGGTCCTCACAAGCTTCTGAAGGTCCTCACATAGGATTCTTTTCTCTGACATATAGTATATCGGAGCGTTCCTATCTTCCTGGTGCACCTCTCTTAAAGCTTGATTAATCTTGTCCACAATAGTGTTTACCGGTTGATCCGCAACTAGTGGGCATTTGTTGAAGTCCCAGTAGACATCAACATGTTCTATCGCTGCCCATTAACAAGTAAAAATCTTTATGCAGCAAGCTAATCCACTGTTAAAAATAAGGGATAAAGAAAGAGATTTTACCCAGTGGGAGTTCTTTTTGTTGGGAGGTTTTTTTTTTGTTTGATTTTTTTTGGGAGAGATCGGATGTGCAAGACGAACCATATTGTTTGGACGCCATGCTCTGTGTTTGTATGTGTTGTAACTCCTCCTCTGCCTCTATATATATATAGGCTCAATAAAATTTTAGCCACCGATTGACAATGATTTATGAAAATGTTTATGACAATATAAATGTCGTGTAGCCTCACGCTCACTGTTGATATTAATGTTGATGGTACTATGGCAAATGGAAGACATAAATTTCATACTATGACAAATAGGATACATAAATTTCATATTATGGCAGATGAGAGACATAAATTTCGTATTATGGGAGACAAAAATTTTGTATTTTTTTTGGTGTGCCATAACTATGTATATTGATGGAGTCTGTATGATGCAAGAAGACAAAAATAATGTGCTATATGAAAAAGACTTGTTTTTTCCAAAGTCTGTCTAAATCAACCCATCATTCTTTAAATTTGGTAATATTTGCTTTATTATGAAGTTTTTTAGCTGGTTAAATTATATACAAAGTATGTAAATTTGAGCAAAAACATTATTTGTTTTAGAGAAAGTATATTTTAATCAAAAGTTTTAGTGTTCACATTTGTCGTCTACTCTGTATAAAGAGGAGTGGCACAACGATGTTTTCCGTATCAATCAATATGCACAGCTAAATATTTGGAACAGATTTGTACATATCTTTATGTATATAGTTAACGAGCATTTACAAAATTTCTGTTGAAACAGTTTTGTTATCTTTCTATACGTACTGGAGGTTTTTCTACAATGTGGATTTTATGGTTCAAACACTTCCAAATGAAATTATGAAAAAAAAATAGAATTTATGCCTAAGGTCAGTGTTCTGATGCAGTTTTTATAACTCCTACTAGTTTAAAAAGTTTCGAACAATGTGAAGTCGCTGAAAAATCTCACAAGAGCTTCCATGTTGATGTTGATGGTAAGAACTTATTAGAGCATCTCCAAGAAACTCTCTATAATTTCAAAATATGAAGTTTGTTGCACTCCAAGAGAAACTTCAATCAAAATTTGAAGTTTTGAACAGTAAAACTCCAAATTTGAAGTTTCACTGTTCAAAACTTCAAATTTGAAGTTTCACCTTTTTATTTGCATTTCAGTCCTCTAATTATATACTATATGAATGTTTATATTTTAGTTTTGTTGTTTATCACTTTAGTCCATATAATTTTAGTATTTTAATTTTAGTATTTCATATATATGTATATATATTTAATTTTTGTATACAGACTAAATAAAAATCTTAAAATAAATTCAGAAAAAATATTACACATTATTATAAATATTTTTATTACACAACAACAAATATATATATAAAGCAAATTTAATACAAAATACAAAAAAATAAATTACATAAACACATAAATATTATACAAATTGAAATACTACAATAATACTAATATTCAGGTAATTTTGAAATGCATTAATTAATCATATATGAAAGCACTATAGAAGTAGTTTTATTGAATAATTTGTTATTTTATTTGTAATTTATAATTTAGTATGTATATAGTATGTATTTTTATATTATTATGTAATGTTTTATTGATTAGTATTAGTTGTAATTTTTTTATATGTATATTTGTAGTTATTTATAAAAGTTTTATGATGTTAATTAATTATTATCAATATTGAGGACTATAATGCAAAATATAAATAGTTTTGAAGTTTTTTTTGAAGTTTACCATTGGAGAGTAACACCTCTAAACTTCAAATTTGAAATTTCCTAAACTTCAAATTTGAAGTGTCTCTTGGAAATGCTATTACTAGTGTATTATTATTATTGCTGGTACATGAGAAACATAGAGATCATTGATTGCTTCAAAGGAATCAAAAGCCTCCACAATAGAATGAGGTTTCAGAAAGTTAAAGTTCATAGGTAAATGATTGATTAGTGTTAGAAGGTACCTAACGAATAGTTTAAGCCCTATTTAAAAATTACAACCGCATGTGCAATAATGGAGTATTACATATTTAATTCTATGTATACAGTTTATATGTGTGTGTGAAAATGATGACGCGTATTAAATAAGGTCCAAAAAATAGTGATGGAAGAGTGGTCTAGTGACAATCCAGTGCGCGACTCACTTTGCTTTTTTGCCTTGTACTTTGCTTTTTTTTCTTTTCTTTTTTTTTGTAACTTTGTACTTTGCTTTTAATAAAGTGTTTTTCACTTTTTTTTTGTATATTAATCTCAAAAACTGGTTTTATTTTCCTTGTTATATATAGTATCCAATAAACCTTTTCCTTCAACCAAAATTTCAATTATTTTGGGATATTTTCTAATGAAAAAAACCATATCATTACGACAATATATACGTGTTTATGTCTTGATGAAAACATTAGGAGTAATTGTAATTTTTCTGTTTTCTTGTAGTTAGTTGGTAATGGAAACTAGTTCGATTATTTAAAAGTTGTCAGTGTTGCGTCAAATCCTTAGTGTACTGTGTGTATGATGATCAATGTTCTCTTCTGACGTGGTAGTCTGAAACTTTTCAATTATATATATTTGAAGTATATATCTTTTATATTCTTTATGACGTTTCTTATTTAATATTGATATAACGCAAGCATCCTATAATTCATAAATAGCCAGAAATACTTTGCGAATCGATACAGCTTAAACAGATACAAAGTTGTATTTATGATTAAAAAAAAACATTTTTGACCATAATGTTGTATATATAGAGTTTTATTTTGTATATATAGAGTTTTATTTTGTTGGGATACTGTGTTATCAACATTTTTGACCATAATGTATAATAAATTATTAACAGTTAACTAACAGTAATACATTAGTAAGGTCACACTAACAAATATGATATATTATGATCGCGCGAATTTGTTATATTTTGATGTCATATAATAATAATATTTATATTGTAATCTTTTTTTAATAATTATATGTAAAAATATTAAAAATTTCATTATTAATAAAAATGATTTAAAAGTATTATATTATTTCTTCTCGATAATAAGAATATATTGTTTTTGTAATGTAACCATTTAGAAATATATTTATAGTAAAATTTATGACTATAATATAAAATATTAATATTTTTAGTCTTTTTAGATTATTTAAAAAATATATAATACACTTACCATGTTTTTCTTTTGTAGTTTATGTTTGTATAGTACATTTAACAAATTAATTTTTTAGTTTGCATATAGTATATTTTTTATTGGAATTGAGGTAGAAATAAAAGATTAATTTGTTAATTGAATGCTCTATGGTGTTTGCTATTTATAGTTTATTGTTTTTATAGCATTTAAATGTTTTTATGATTTTGGTTAAGTGTAGTTATAATATTTTTGTTAATATTTTATTTTCTATTTGTTATTTGTGATGTGGTAAGATAATACAGTCTTTTGGCTAATTGTGTCAGTTTTTTATGTTTTTATTATTGATCCATAATTAATTATAGTTAATTTTTTGATTAATTATATTTGACCACTAATTAAATACTGAGTAATTATTATATTATTTGTTGGTCTTTTTCGTTTTCAGATTATATTAATCATATTCAAAGTGAAAACATTATATGATGGATTCATGTAAAAACTGCAATCTTTGGTTTATTTGAAAAATAGTATTTAAGTTTTTTTCAAAAACTTAGAAACAATGGCAATGCAAAAATTGTCATTATTTCTTGAAAAAAGTATAATGGCTTTGCAAACAATTTTGAAAAAAATCTAAATTGTTTATAAATCAAAATAGCTTGCAGAAATTTAATATTTAATTGTAAAATAAAAAAATATAAGTTAGAAACTGCAATCTTTGGTTTATTTGAACAATAGTATTTAACTTTTTTTTTCAAAAACCTTAGAAACAATAGCAATGCAAAAATTGACATTATTTCTTGAAAAAGAATAATGGCATTGCAAACAGTTTAGAAAAAATCTAAATTGTTTATAAATCAAAATAGCTTGCAGAAATCTAATATTTAATTGTAAAATAAAAAATATAATTTAATAGAAATGACATATGTCAATTTGTTGAATGTCATATGACAGCTGTTGGAACCCATTTTACCGGGTCGAAGAAGAGCTCACCACGTAGGCCTAGGCCTAGACTATATCGACTACTAACACACGTCACACTAGCTCGGCCGACCCACTCCTGCATACTGTATCGGGGCAGTTGGCGGACTTTCCCTAACACACCAAAATGATTACTCCCACCTGCTCCCCGGATGCACGGCTTGGAAGGGACAGGACGAGAGAATGGCAAGTATAAATGGAAGAAGAACCCTTCAAAAAAGGGCAGGACGATCGGAGAGGCCTGCCTTCCGACGTCTGAGACAATATTCCCGGCCATGCAGCAGGATCACGGGTGGACTCCACATCCCTCCTGGGTGATTACCGACCAGGTTAAGCTATCCCCAACTTGGAACCCGCTTTTATACCCACTGCATCCCCCTTTTCAGAAGTAGAAATCCCTCTTGAAATACTCTAAACCAGACAGGGGTCTCGATTTTCGGACGAGCCCCCTAACAATTAACCCATAGAAAACTCCTCCCCCCCACTGAGTACTTGTTCCCGGTAGGGCGCTCACTAACTTGGGCGTCGGAGAAATTTCGAGAGGGAAACCTCCTTTCGTTCTCCCCTCCGAAGGCTCACCTAACGTTTGTTTAAGTGCTTGCAGGATCGAATACGGTACATGTCCCGCCGCCTCGCGATTGGGAGCTTCTGCCCTGGAACGACGATTCGAAGTCTTTCCCCCATAGGACGGAACTCATAAACCCGGCTCCATCCCCGACAAATCATGACCCCCCTCCACGTGGCATCCCAAAATTTGCTCCTGAACAACAGCATAAAAGCTCATTTTAAAAAATAACAAAAAAAAATTAGAATAGGTATATATTTATTAATCATAAATTATTGATATGATATTCGTATCATATCATATTTTTTACCCATTCAAGCAAAACTATATTTCTAACAGATTAACGTAAACTATTTATCAATAAATAGTAAAAATAACTATTTTTAACAGAAAATCTTAATTTAATTCTCAATAAATAGAAAAAAGATTAGAAAATGACACATGACAACTTTTGAAGAACCACATAGCAGCATATCATAACTCATTTTGAAAAAAAATTACTATATTAGAATAGATTTAGATGTAATTTTTAGTTCATGTTTTAATTAGATGAGAAATAAAATGTTTTTTTCTAAAATGTTAAGTGACATATGTCATTCACTGAAGTATCACGTGACTGACGGCGTATCGAAAATGGTTATCAAACATAAAGATATGTACAAATCCATTCGAAATATTTCGCTGTGCATATTGGTTGATACGGAAAACATTGCTGTGCGACTCCTCTTTATACGGAGAAGACCACAAATGTGAACACTAAACCTTTGATTAAAAAATACTCTCTCTAAAACAAATAAAACTTTTGCTCAGATTTATATATTTTGTATATAATTTAACTAACAGCTTGTTGCAGCAAGTAGTCGCCAAGCTCAACAACGAGACCAACCATTCAACTTTCGCCATCATTGATTTCTATAAAGCCTTCTTGACCATCTTCAAGAACAAAGGAGAGAACCCAGGTAAAAAAAAGTTTTAACATTTACGGTTGATCCTTAATAAAAAAAAAAGTTTAGGCTTTCATGTTATCGGTTCTTACATAGCTGTTATCGATCTCTCCATCTTTTGAGTATAACTTCTTTCATTTGTGTTTGCATGGTTATGGTTTAGTGCCTCTCTCTCTCTTTTTCTCTCTCTCTATATATATATATCTTTGTACTGTGTGTTAAAGAATAAAGACCTTGGCTAATAATTTTTTAATTAAATACTTTAAATGAAAAGAATACATGCCTCTTCTATATGCTCTAGTTATTAGTCTAAGTCGTCTCTAATCTTTTACAAATCAGAGGAAGAAAACACAACACACACACTACACAAACATATAGTTACTCAGTTTTAAGGCTACTAGATCTTGTTTTAGCTCTGCTGCTCTCTAGATTGTCTCAGTTGTTTTCTTCGGCCTCGAGGTCTTCTTATTTATAAGGATAGGAAGTCGGTTGCTCCGAACTCTTTTTTTTCTGAATATTTCCATATTTGCGATATAAAATGCTAAATTAATATTATGAAATAAAAACATCGTCATGACAGATAATGGAGAAGCATACATCGTCACGTTGTAAACGCAACAAACGATTCCAACGCTCATCGTACGTTTGTTGGAAGTGTGCTCGAGAGTGAAGACCAAAACTGTGAGAACAGCCACAAACACAGCTTCAACCGTTAAAACGGCGGCTATCATCAACCGCCGTTTTTTTGCGGTCACAGAAGATGAAATTTTTTGTGATGAACACAGTTTCGTTCAAGACCCCTGCGCCGTTGATTGTAACGACCAGTGTGCTGTTAGGATGCACCATAGGGAGCCTGTGGTAACCCAACCCGGTAAACCGTACCACGGCTGTGTCCCACTACATCCTCTAAGTCCGTTTCTATACTTAGCCATATTTTTGAAATTTTTCTTTTATTTTTCTAAGTCTTTCTTATCATTACACAGCGGAATATAAAGCAACTCATTCATTTATTCAACTTCCAAAAACACTTAAACAAGATTCAGAATTCCACATAAATAAAAGCACAAGGTTCGCTAAAGATTACAACTGATCATCTAGCAACCTAACGATCAAACACCAAAGCCATAAGACTCTAAACACAAGTCTTAACATAAATAAAACCAAGTCCCGATCCATCCATATCCATCACTGCCGCCTGGTCTCGCCCCCTTACTGCTTAGTACCTGCACACTCAAAATGAGAGGCATAAATATTTCATAAATACTTAGTGAGTACGGTCATCCCGTAACACCTGGTCAGTACCAAAACACGCAGTCATACTTTCGGATTCAACATTAAACACAATCAATTCACAATAGACATCACAATATCAAACGGCCATGATCATCTAGCCTAACCAACCAAGATCAATCCCTTTTTAAGACCCATGTCTACTTCAGCGAGAATCCCACATCCCCTAAGCTAGTACATGATCCGGATTACCCTGAGGTTAGCTAAACATCATATATGCCACGGTAAACACCACAATATATCACAACACAAGGATTGCTTATCAGTTCTAAACACATAACATGAAAATCACACAATCAACATGCAAACATTCAACCCTAGCAATCCTACGGTCCTAGACCCAACCACAGTCACGCACTCACCTTAGACAAGGCTAGAAACAGATTGGTCAGAAGAAATCCCGATGAAAACCGCACCAAAACGAAGATATTCGATCTCCCTAAGAATCTCTCGGCTCACGGTATGATCCGATCCTTATCCCCTCGGCTATCTCTTGATCTGTTCACCTTTCTTTGAGCCAAACTCTGTTTTCCCTCAGAAACCCCACAAAACAAGGCTATTAGCTCGAGGTTATCCGATGAAAACTCAACACTTAGGGAAATGTCCGATCGCTTACCAGTTTATCTCGGCGATGGTCGGTTCTGCTCGGCGATAGCCTGATCTCTCTCGGATATCCTCGGGATAAACTGTTTTTCTTAGGGTTTTCTCTCGATTATTCTCTTTCTTTGCTTTATTGCTCTCGAATAAACACAACTCTCCCGAGAAAAGTCTTAAAATCCCTTAAATACTCGCAAAACCCTAGGTAACCCGGACTTATCCGACGTTTTCCCGGTTCCAGTAAGTTTTATCCCGGTCCGATTCGATTCTATCGGCTATTCCCTGTACCGGCTCGACCATTCCTTCGATAAACCCCAAAATAGCCGACCAAACACTTGGCCCACGGCCCAAATCCCTTCCCACTCGAATAAACCGCCCTTATCCGAGGTGTTTTCTATTTTTCACCCGTATATTCCTATTTCTCTCGGACAACTTCTCCCACCTCGGCTAATCCTCTATTTCTCTCGGAGGTTTCCTATTCCCCCTCGGAGTCAGTCCACTGACACTCAGACTAACCTCCGAGACTCTCGGATATATCCCACTGCACTCGGATAAATCTCATTTCCCTCGGACTGGACCCCATTTCTCTCGGATATGGTCCATCCGGCTCGGCTATCCAGCCCATACCCGACTATTTCCTCGGTCGTCACCCGACCATAGTCCGAACCTCCATTTCCCAGCTAGTATCCAACCCTTGGCTCGGTCATTCCTCGGACAACACCCTGTCCGGTACGATCATTCTACATTTTCTCGGATACGGATGCTATAGAGCCCGTAAAAAATCCAAACCATACAGTTTATGAGAGTTGCGTACTGGTGAGTAATCCTCCAGTGACTTCTTTGTCACAATTCGGACAAATGTTGGCCTTATGTAATAAACACATTAAATGTTTTGATTAATAACTGTCGATATAAATGATATATACTAAAGATTTTTATTCTTTGGAAGGGAATCCAGTAAATAGACTTTTTTAAACTTAAGTATTAGCAAAAACATTGTGAACCATGTGTAATACATATATGGTTCCCTTCAAAAGAGGCCTTTTAACACACACAAAAACGGTTCCCTTCAAAAGCTTATCCATATAACCATGTGAGAATTGTATCAAGTTCAATATTGTGATTACACAAAGGCAAAGTGAAAAGCTTCAGTGATGAAAGAAACAAAAAAACAAAATAAAAAATCAGCTGTTTCAAAGGATTGTATCATGTCTTCCATTTCTGAAACAAGTTTGGTTTTCTTCAACAAAATCTATTATTAATAAATTACACTATTAGTCTCATATCATATATGTTCCATTGTTTTTGGAATTTTGTTTGAACAATATGGCAAAAACTTACGTTGGTGATAATGTAAGATCTAGATATTTCCCTAAGAGAGAATATAAAGATTTGCATGAGAAAAAACTAAGTCGTTTTATTGATTAGCCGGAACTCGAAGAGTACAATGGTTTTAGATCGTTGGAAAAGAACGCCGATCTAAAATTTGAGAGTGTAAAGAACCGAGATCTAAAGCTGCGAGCTATAAGCTACAGTTTGTCCTAGGTCTCAAGTCCGAAGTTGTGAATGAATGATCTTCGAGGGAGGAGGCTCTTCTTATATAGCTTTCATAGACCGCCTTGAGAATAATCCCTCTCCTTCGAGATTAGAATAATTTCCTTTCTTCTCGGGGTCCTCTTTCCTTTTCTTCCGCGATTCGAATATATCTTCGGATATTTCCATATTTGAGCACCGACCTAAACCCGGAAGCGGAGGTAGGGCTTCAAATGGGCCTTGTCTCAATTTATGAAGGGATTTTAGCAAGGGGTGCTAAACCCATCACTAACAATTAGTCCCCCCCCCCCCCCCCTAGTTCGACGATCTGAGTAGCAGGTTAGGAAAAAATGAGAAAAGGTAGCTCGGTATAAATTGAGATCGGGGTATTTCGAAGCACGGGGTGCTCGAAAGCTACGTCAATCTACACGAACTCCTGGTTGGTACGATTCAAGGACGGAATTTAAACCGTGTCAGAGGTCGGGACCGCGTATATTAGACCGATTACATTGTAAATCGGGTTGCTAATAGCGAATAACAGGTCGGGCCTTATTTTAGGTTGGGTTCATAAACCGCTTTTCTTGAGCCGGAAACTCTTCGTCTTCTGGGACATGACACATGTCGACTTCTCGAATATATTTAAGCACGGGAAATACGAACCGTCACAATGATTACGAGTTTCTCGAAAACCGTTTTTGATTTGATATAAAAAGGGGGTGAGGGTTTTCATTTCTTTACTTCTTCTTCTCACGAAAATCTCCGAATCAGGTTCGCTATCCCTTCTCTCTTCTTTCTCTCTCTAGAATTTTGTCCTGTAGATCTAGTAGTCCTAGGATAGATCGGGGCATCTGTAGAAGACCGTACAGCTAGTAGAAGCCCGTACTATCGTTTATTTAGATCGGGATTGTCTAAGCAAAGATGAATCATCGCAAATCATCGAAAGGGAAGGAAGTGGTCTCCTCACCGGTTGAATCGACGGGCAGTATTAGCTCGGGATCGGATATGTCCGGGCGAATGTTTGCTCGAGCAATGGGAATAAATTATGAAGATATGATCAGGGATCAGCAGAAACAGGCGGCGTTGCGATTCGAGGAAGGTCAGCTAGGAACCATAGCTCGGGGGGATGCCGGGCCGTCTTCGATACGAGTTCCTATCGAGGTACCCGAGCTGAGAGACGAATCAGATGATGCCGGGAGTGCCACCAACGTGTCTGATTGGGATAACGGTGTTGAGGACAAAAGTGCCAATGCTTTGGCCGATCAAGACGAGGCCGAAGTAAAGGACGAGCCTGTTAGTCTTGGCGCTTCAGAAGAGTCGTGGGAGAATGGGATTCTCGATAAATATACCCCAGCCTCGTTCAAGTATTTGAGGCTGTCCAAGAAAAATGCTCTGAGGCCGGACAACGCCTTTGGCGTAATTCGGTCCCGTACTACATGGAAGTCGTTGACTTTGCTGAAAGAAATGTGCAGGATCGGGCCCGAGGTCAAATTTATGGTCCCGAGTCCCGAGCAGAGGCCTTGGGATGCCCCGCCGGGCTACATCTGTCTATTCGAACATTTTTTCCTCTACGCTCATCTATGGTTCCCACTACCCTGAATTCTTCTGGAATATTGTGCGAGGAGGGGAATGCCGATCTCGCAGACCACACATGCCTGTGTTCGTCATCTGGTCAGTTTGACGGTGCTCGCTCAGGAGCACGGGCTGCCGTTTTCCACCGATATCTTTGAAGAGATGACCGATATTAAGCCTGAGGGTGGGAACACTCAGAACCGGGGTTCGTTCTATGTTAGTATGAAGAGGAAGCTGAACATAGTCACCGAGAAGTCATCGAAAAAGATCGACAACTGGCGGAACTGTTATTTCTTTATGAAAATCGACGAGAATACCGTAGTTGATACGGACGTCCCGATCTTGACTAGATGGGCCGATGTGATCGGTAGCTAGTCGATCTTTAGCTGTAGAGTGCGTTTACTTAATCCCGTGCTGACATTGGTTTTTGTTTTGCAGCGACACCGGCAACTCCGATCAAGCCTCCTGTAAAAGATTTCTTCGAGCACAGGAACGTCTTTCAGAGATTAAGTCACGAGACTTGGCCTCAGTTTACCATCGAAAGAGTTTCAAGAGCAACAGGTAAATCAGTTAAATTACGTCCCGTTCTTAAGGAATGTTCCCGGGCTAACAACTCTGCTGTCAGGTCATCTTCGTCGAAAGCTAGAGAAGAAAATGCCGATTAAGCCAAGGAAGACGAGGGACTTTTCCAGAGAACTCGAGGAGTCCCTGCTAGCTGCGAGTGGGA